TACTTAACGATAAATTATTAAGTAAGTACCTTCGCCCGTAAAACGTAAAGCAGTTGATGCTGTTACGCGGAACGTTTTATCGCGAATCGGCGCGTTCCCTTCCAGGTAACTACTTTTCGTTTTACGCGTGCACGTTATTTTCCTGCACGCCACCGTCTTTCGTTCGATCACGTGACCGAATTAAATATATTTTGCTCGACTTTTAATAATCACAAGAACGCAACGCGATTTAGATATGTATCGTACTACGCGCGTACATACGTAATCGGGGACTAGTATGAAGGTATGACGCACGAATCGCGAATAATTATTGCACATTATTCGCATCGACGGTTTTTAAAACACAGCGGGGAGCAAAGCTGAACAAAATTTTAACAGAAATAATTTTTTATTCGATATTTGCATGTAGAATATAAAAGAAACAAAATAGTTGGTATTGTCTACAATCTTTTGGCTTTCCAAAACAAATTTAACGTTTGTGATATCATTACCGTGTCGTTTGGAACAATTTTTTCTCGTTCTCGAGTCACTCTTTAAAAAAATAGTATGACTCAATTTTGTGTGATATAACTATATCAGATTGTCTTAAAAATCATTTCCATTTTACCGTTTCGACTCATTTGTTTTACAATATTATTCAATTAACTAATTATAATCGATTGTAATTTGAAAATAATTTTTCTCCAACTTATCGGATTTTCCTGAAAAACTTTTATCCCCTTTTATAGTTTTTTGCAGTATCTCGAATTTTGTATGTTTAGTTATTATTGAAAATTGTTAGTTATATATAGAATTAATTGCAATATAGAATGTTTGATTTTGAATGTTATATATATAGTTATTATTGAAAATTGTAAATTATATGTAGAATTAATTGCAATATAGAATGTTTAATTTTGAATGTTATACAGGGTGTTCGGCCACCTCTAGCAAAAATTTTAATGAGCGATAGTAGAGGCCAAAATAAGACGAAAATCAAGAATACTAATTTGTTGGTGGAAGCTTCGTTAAAAAGTTATTAACGTTTAAAGTGCCGCTCTTACTGAATTTTTTTCTCGAAAATGCGCAAGATTTCGGGGGTATGTCTATTCACCAAAAATTACTGTAATTGAACCCTACAACCGAAAATAATTTTTCCACAACGATTTGCAATTTTTTAATTTTCTCGAATAATTTCACACCTTCTCTATTTTTTTTCTCGAAAGTGGGCAGGATTTCGTGGGTATGTCTAATGACAAAAACTGATTGTAATTGACCCCCGCAACCGAAAATAATTTTTCCACAACGATTTGCAATTTTTTTTCTCCGTTGAAAAATTTAGGCACCTATTTGGATTTTCAGTAAGGAATTTTTTTCTCGAAAGTGCGTACGATTTCGGAGGTATGTGTAATGATAAAAAATGATTGTAATTGATCCCCGCAACCGAAAATAATTTTTTTAAAACGATTTGAAAAATTTTTTTTCGCCGAAAAATTTCAGCACCTACTCGATTTTTTTTCTCGAAAGTAGATAGGATTTCGGAGGTATGTGTACTCACCAAAAATGATTGTAGTTGACCCCCGCAACCGAAAATAATTTTTCCAGAACGATTTGAAATTTTTGAATTTAATTGTTAATAACTTTTTAACGAAGCTTCCATCAACAAATTAGTATTCTTGATTTTCGTCTTATTTTGGCCTCTACTATCGCTCATTAAAATTTTTGCTAGAGGTGGCCGAACACCCTGTATATATAATTATTATTGAAAATTCTAAGTTATATGTAGAAATAATTGCAATATAGAATGTTTGATTTTGAATTTTGTATATATAGTTATTATTGAAAATTCTAAGTTATATGTAGAATTAATTGCAATATAGAATGTTTGATTTTGAATTTTGTATGTTTAGTTATTATTGAAAATTCTAAGTTATATGTAGAATATTTGATTTTGAATTTTGTATATATAGTTATTATTGGAAATTCTAAGTTATACGTAGAATTAATTGCAATATAGAATGCTTGATTTTGAATTTTGTATATATAATTATTATTGAAAATTCTAAGTTATATATAGAATTAATCGCACAAAAACGATAATGGTTTCCTTCGCCATTTGAAAAGGAAAACTAAAAAATAAAAATATACGTTTATTATTGAAAATTTCACTCTTTTATATTAAAAGTATGCTTAGATAGGATGTAAGATAAAAATTGCATTAGGTAAATATTCTTTAGAAAAACGATAAGTATTGTCTTGAACCATTTTAAGGAGCATATTACTTTCGACAATCATTCGTTTGGCTTTCGCGACTTATATGTACATCATTTCTAGACTAAATAAATAAATTTTCACACGTTCAGAAAAATTGACGAAAAGAGATTACCAAGAATTGATAGCGCTACTAAAATGTTTAAATCGAAATGCAATTAAATACTTAAGCGATGCTCGATTAATATACAGGGTGTCTCACCCGATTTCGACATCTTGATTTTCTCGCTATTGTTACTCGTAACAAAAAATGTTTCAGCGGAGGCTTGAATGGAATCGAGTGGAGCATATTCTGATGTTATTAGTTTTTTCGTGAGTGGACGCGTAAAGGTCATATAAAGGTCAACTTTGTTTTTTTAAGTGGAATGAGGTATTTTTTAATACATCAATCGATTCAGCTGGACAATCGTTATAAAAAAGTACAAACTATGTAACGTCGAAAAATTAGTAGTTCAGGAGATATTTCAATTTAAATAATTCTAAAACACCATTACTGGTGTACTAAGACGTTAGCGTTTATTTACAGGAATGGTTCAACGTAACGACCATTTACATCACTTGTCATTACTTAAACTACATAAAAAAAGTTATTTAATAATAAAAATATATTTAGTTTTTAATTGGATAGTAAAAATTGACTACAGTGATATCTTAAAATGAAATACAATGAAATTCTTATGAAATAGCCTTGTGGTATAAAAAAAAAGTTATTTAATAACAAGAATAGTTAGTTTTTAATTGGAAAGTAAAAATTGACTACAGTGATATCTTAAAATGAAATACAATGAAATTCTTATGAAATAGCCTTAGTGGTATAAAAAAAAGTTATTTAATAACAAGAATAGTTAGTTTTTAATTGGATAGTAAAAATTGACTACAGTGATATCTTAAAATGAAATACAATGAAATACTTATGAAATAGCCTTAGTGGTATAAAAAAAAGTTATTTAATAACAAGAATAGTTAGTTTTTAATTGGATAGTAAAAATTGACTACAGTGATATCTTAAAATGAAATACAATGAAATTCTTATGAAATAGCCTTAGTGGTATAAAAAAAAGTTATTTAATAACAAGAATAGTTAGTTTTTAATTGGATAGTAAAAATTGACTACAGTGATATCTTAAAATGAAATACAATGAAATTCTTATGAAATAGCCTTAGTGGTATAAAAAAAAGTTATTTAATAACAAGAATAGTTAGTTTTTAATTGGATAGTAAAAATTGACTACAGTGATATCTTAAAATGAAATACAATGAAATTCTTATGAAATAGCCTTAGTGGTATAAAAAAAAGTTATTTAATAACAAGAATAGTTAGTTTTTAATTGGATAGTAAAAATTGACTACAGTGATATCTTAAAATGAAATACAATGAAATTCTTATGAAATAGCCTTAGTGGTATAAAAAAAAGTTATTTAATAACAAGAATAGTTAGTTTTTAATTGGATAGTATAAATTGACTACAGTGATATCTTAAAATGAAATACAATGAAATTCTTATGAAATAGCCTTAGTGGTATAAAAAAAAGTTATTTAATAACAAGAATAGTTAGTTTTTAATTGGATAGTAAAAATTGACTACAGTGATATCTTAAAATGAAATACAATGAAATTCTTATGAAATAGCCTTGTGGTATAAAAAAAAGTTATTTAATAACAAGAATAGTTAGTTTTTATTTGGATAGTATAAATTGACTATAGTATCTTAAAATGAAATACAATGAAATTCTTATGAAATAGCCTTGTGGTATAAAAAAAAGTTATTTAATAACAAGAATAGTTAGTTTTTATTTGGATAGTATAAATTGACTATAGTATCTTAAAATGAAATACAATGAAATTCTTATGAAATAGCCTTGTGGTATAAAAAAAAGTTATTTAATAACAAGAATAGTTAGTTTTTATTTGGATAGTATAAATTGACTATAGTATCTTAAAATGAAATACAATGAAATTCTTATGAAATAGCCTTGTGGTATAAAAAAAAGTTATTTAATAACAAGAATAGTTAGTTTTTAATTGGATAGTAAAAATTGACTATAGTGATATCTTAAAATGAAATACAATGAAATTCTTATGAAATAGCCTTAGTGGTATAAAAAAAAGTTATTTAATTATAAGAATAGTTAGTTTTTATTTGGATAGTAACTACTAAATAAACGCTAACGTCTTAGTATAAGAGTAATGGTGTTTTAGAATTATTTAAATTGAAATATCTCCTGAACTACTAATTTTTCGACGTTACATAGTTAGTACTTTTTTATAACGATTGTCCAGCTGAATCGATCGATGTATTAAAAAATACCTCGTTCCATTTAAAAAAACAAAGTTGACCTTTATATGACCTTTACGCGTCCACTCTCGATAAAACTAATAACATCAGAATATGCTCCACTCGATACCATTCAAGCCTCCGCTGAAACATTTTTTGTTACGAGTAACAATAGCGAGAAAATCAAGATGTCAAAATCGGGTGAGACACCCTGTATAAAGATAATTTACAGTAAACGTTTGTGTGTCCAAGATTTATTTATTTAAAAAAAGAGTGCTCCAGAGTGGAGATATTGTTGATAATCTGGGTCAGAGAGATCCATATTTTGGAAAAAATTATAATCGTAATGTCGGAGATTTGAAAAATGTATTGCAAGATAAAATTAGAAAGAATTTGCCTTGCAAATCGCGCGTTGTTTCCCGTCGTGAGTAGAACGAATTAATTATTTGTCATTTTTTTTCTTATTGCTTGCAGAACGAACTACCGTCCCCATGCTTGGCAGTGGCTTTCCTGGGACCACTTTAGGTGAGTCGTGAGACGCAGCGATGGGGAATTTCTCTATTAAAATTTCAAGCAATAAGATTGTTTGCTTTCCATCTTGGACGCTTTGCAGACCCCCGATGCGATTCAAAGCTCTCCACTCACGTTTATTATCGAACGATACGGAGCACTCTTGCATTTTAAAGGGCAATCGATGCCTCCGGGGCAACCTAAAGAACCCGATACGAGGAAAATACTTTTTCCTCCAACAATAAGAACGACGGACGTTCGAGTTTCCTACGAACTTGACAAACCTGATTTATCTTCCGAAAGGAATTGCTATCGATTACAAAACTACGTTAAAATCGGGCTTGATTTCACATCACAGGGCGTAGAAGCATTTTCATTTCGTGTCGTAACGTTATGTGGGAAATTTTAATCCTGAAAAAACTACAGAATGCATTTAATATGCAAAAATATAAGAAATACTTAAAGTAAGATACGAATTATTATATTTAGGGGTTGAGATAATTCTATACGAAGTTCCGATTTCATTAATTCTATTAATAAAAATATGAGTTTGCGTAAAAATCCGCAGTCTAGTTATAACTGTTAGGGTGATGGATCTATTCCAAATAAACACTATAACTCACGAATATTTAATAGTGTATTTACAGACAAAAATATACACATTAGTTTTTGTTGAAATCAAATGCTCATGGAAATGTTACTTGAATTTACGTTCTACTTAATTTTTCACCGTGTAAACCTCAAAAACTTGCTTCGTTTCTGAAATCATTAGTAAGTACAATACCTCGAGAGATATGCAGGTAATTGGGCATGCAATTAAACTCGACTATCTATTAGATAAGATTAGATTAGATAACTAAAACAATGAATTGTCAAATTAAAATGTTAAAGAAAATAAATTTTAATAGGCTTCGTAAATTTCAATGAGGTTACGAAAGTAACTACGACGACTACTTTTAAATTGTGTAATTTACAATTGTCTAAAATCAAAGTTTTGGTCTCGTTGACAATTTTAGGATTTTCGACTGGCAGTCAACGTGTTAAGGTATTCTTACTTTCTGTCTCATGGGGAAAGAAATTCGGAAATTATTTCTTTTATGGAAAAGCTAATATTTTTAATATTCTTGAGAACAATTGATTGTGTTGAATTTTTGTGCTAGATATGAGCCGTTTATTTTGAAAGTGGCCTAACTCCATTTTTCAATTTTTGCCGGTTACCATGGTTACATGTACAACTTCATGATATTTATCGTTAAAGCATTTCAGGTTGCTTATATTCCGAGCAAATACGATCATTCTTGACACATAAGTTTTCAGAGTTAATTCAATAATTGAACCGTGTAGTTTGAAAGTGGCCCAACTCCATTTATACTTAAATCAAGATATTTAATGTTTACATGTACGTTTGGGATGAAAGTATTGCATCCAGAGGTGCTCAAGAAATTGTTTCATGCATCCTAAAACATATTACAAATTTAAGAAGTGAAAGACACATTATAGCTTACAGTGATATGTACGCCGGGCAAAACAGAAACATTAAAGTAGCTTTAATGTGGTTAAAATTTGTCCAAACTTTGGAAAATAATGTGGAAATCATAGATCACAAATTTTTAATATCAGGACATTCGTTTTTACCAAATGATAGAGATTTTCGCGTGGTAGAAATGTCATTAAAAAAAAAAAATTTACTGTTCGTTCCCCGAGATTATAAGAAGATTATTAAAAAGTGTAGGAAAGGTAATAATTTTATTGTAAATGAAACGAGACAAGAAGATTTTGTATCAACAAAATTATTCGAAGACGCAATTTTTCAAAGGGTAAAGAATTCTGATGGAGAATCAATAAACTGGTTAAAAATATGTTGGATGCGTTTTGTCAGAAATGAACCGTATAAAATTTTCTATAAGACATCGATGAATGAGAATAAACATTTTTAAGTCCTGAATTTATTACCACGTCGGGGTAGACCAAGAAAGCTCGAAAATATTGTATCGACACCGCTGTATAAAAATATCAAACAAATTACAACAGCAAAATTCAAGGACATAACTGACCTATTACGATATATACCACCGGAACATCATGATTTCTTCAAATCCCTTTCACACGCACAAAATGTAGATGAGTAGTAAATTGTTTTGTAATAAATTTATGTTTGTAATTTTGTACGTTGTGTAGTTAAAAAATGTTTTGAATCGCATAAATTATGTTTCCAAAGAGTTTTAAAGATGTGTAAAATAAATTCAGTATTGTTTTTTTCAATTTGAAGCATCTTAAATTATGTTGAATGGACTTGGGCGCCTTCAAATTTTATAATGAATCTGGTTGTTAATTTTGAAAGTGGCCTAACTCCATTCTTGATAAGAAAACGTATATTATTCGCTTAATAATTGCCACTATTTTAATAGGAACTATAAATTTAACACCCTTAGATGCACTTAAGCAGTATGACTCATTAGTATCCTATACGTATATTTTTAAATTCATTGAAACGCAAACCTTTAAATATCTCGATTTGAAGATAAATGGACTTAGGACACTTTCAAAATAAACGGCTCATTTAAAACTTGCGTTTATTGGCGATAGACACTATTTTAGATCTCTCTCTCCGTTACTACCATTTATCCAAATTTCGCCACGTGTTATTAGCTAGCCAATCGTCGTCAGATCAAGAGTTTTTATAGTTCACAGTATCACCACTAGGGGCATGGAACTATATTGTACAATGAAAATGGAGGTATAGATTGACCAGTAGCATATTTTATTTTATATGCATTTTTAATAACTTCCTAATTATCAGACGTTAATTTTGAAAGTGGCCTAACTCCATTCTTGATAAGAAAACCTTTAAATATCTCGATTTGAAAATAAATGGACTTTGGCCACTTTCAAAATAAACGGCTCAATTAATCTGATGTATACTTTCTGAGATCTACTGGATGCAAGCTGATAAAATTCTACCAAACATATCGGTAGAAAACATTATTATAACTTCACTATTTTCTAAATTAAGGTAATAAATCTTGCACGATTAAAAAGGTACGATCTTGCTTAATAGAAGCAGAAAAGATCTCGTTCTATTACTCGATAATTACCCAAGGAACGCTAAGTAGCACTTGATAATGAACAAATAGCACTGATAATTGAACAGTGATTCGGTTTCAGTTAACCGGGCGCAGCTTTGTTCGCAATTATACAGAAATCTACTTCGAAATCTACTTTGAAATCTACATTGTAGTAATTGAATTAGTAAAACGAATATGTCGTGCAATCGAAATGTAAATATAAAATATGTCAACGATCGGGAATGAATATTTACAAGAGAATCGTAATGAATAGTTCTCGGTGGTTGGAAATTGCATGATACGAGAGCGAAACAAATCCGTTTATATCGGTCAATCTTTTATCATATCTGTGGGTATTTGTTCAAAACGATCTTTATTTAAATATTAAAAGTGACTAGGAACTAATTTTAAGACTATTTGAATAACAGCTACGCTTAAACTGATATAACATAGAACGACAACTTAAAACAACAACTTAAAACGACAACTTGAAATGACAACTTAAAGCGACTTGTTACGGCAACGTCTTGTCAAGTGAGTCCCGTTTTTCCGCTCGAAACATCCCTTTTTAAAACCTTTTCCGCCCCACCATTCAAGCTTCTTTCGGGCGCGTACATGACCAAATATGGTTTATGCTTGCGTTTCGCACCCCTGCGCGAGAGGACCTCGAACGCGTCACTGGGCCCGCTGACCCAGGGGTTTTTCCCGTCCCTTTCGACCTGTAACGCTTTCTCTTTTAACCTATATGTAGTTCTTACTCCGCTCAAGTTCCTCGCATTTCCCGATACCACATATCTTATCATATCAATCTTATTCATACATATTTTTCTTATCGGTGCTCTATACGTGCCAATTACGAAATCGTAAAGCTCGAAATAACTGATAATGTAGCGACCGTACAGCATGAACGACGCGCGAACGTATGCGAGTTGACTATGCAGAAATGATTAAAATTCATGTCTAAATCTGTTGGTAATGTTGCAAGTGACACAAATATGGCAATGGAGCTCTGGAGCCCCAGAAAAATGGGCAGAAAGAATACTCGTGAAAAGTGTACTCGTATGCCTCATCTGTGGTTCAACGTCACACACATCGTTATCGACTTACGATGTAACGACTTTTCCCTAGGTAACATTTTTCTTAAAAGGTCAAGCATACTTGTCTGTTCGATATCGAAATAACTATGCTCGTCGACCATCGATCGTACATTTCGCACATACGCGTGCACAAAATCGATTTGCAATTTGTTTCGAATAAACTTGTTTGTTAGGAGGGAAAGCAAACAAGACACGCGACGTCTTATTGTCGTCTGAAGTTTGCACCGAAGCAGAGACTCGATTATCTGAACTAAATGGGACACGAGTTGTTAGGATAATCGATCTTTTCGTGTAAACGCGAACTAGAAAAGATATCATTTATTATGGAACTCTGTGTATTATTCTTTCGAATTGTACAACGTTTAAACAAACATTTGACACGTGTCGTTAATTTCTCGCTCGCTCTATCTTGGCGATTAACATTTTCTTTGTAATTGAATTTCATATTTGAATGTTCGGAAATGTATAGAAATTATTGACAATTATATTCTGCTTGGTGTTAAAAGCTATAATTATCATTCAATTTTTGGGAATGTTTAAGGGGTAAAATCACTCTAGACACAGAAAAAAAGACCTAAAGACAATTTATTTTGGGAGTGTGGCAAACGGAATAGAATTTCTTTTCAGAGGGTTTATTTAACACATATTGAAGTACGAAAAACAATTTTTTAAAATCAAATTTTTAAACTCGATTTTACGCAAAAAAAAAAAATCAAATTATTTGTTGCTTCGACAGTTTTACAGAACAATTTTATTCACATATTTATTTGTTATTATTCAAATAGTAAATATTGTATATTATATAGAAAGTATTTACTTTATTACCATAGCAAATTTTTCATAAGTTTACAAGCATAATACAATGTAGCTATACAAGAGAAACTTTCTCTGACGATATAGTTGCAAATAAGAATGTAATTAGGATAATTAAAATTGTAGCAAATGTCTGGTTAAACGTAAAAAAACGAAATTTTGCTACATGAAATAGTAATGAAAAAAATGGAAGAAAATTGCACAAATGAAATTTTTTTTTCTTTAAATTTAACGCAATGATATAATAAGTAATTGCACGAACGTGTCTCCGATTTCGAAAATTAATTTTCACGCTGGATTTATTTTTTCAGAATGAAATTCTTGTTTGGAATAATTTTTTTGCTCGCAGAAAAGAAATTGAATCGTGCACTGTGCGTTAGAGACTCTAATTTCAGAATAATACGAGCAATAACGATTCTGTTTTAAAACCACGATGCAACGAGAAACAGACGCGCAGATTGCGACCTAGTTTCTAATCCCGATCGAAAAACTAAACGATATTGGTCTTCGAAGCTATTATTAACTAGTGCTGACAAGTCGATTAGTGGCGGATTGCAAAATTTAAAATGCATTAGTGAGATCCAGGTCGATCAGTTTGTTCATAATTGCTTTTATTTTTCAATTTATTTTGACTTTTTATCAGTGTTGTAAATCGAGAGAAGAATGTGTATTTTTCGTGTACTTCGTTTCAAGGTATGCAGAAATCATAATAATTCCGAATAATGTAAAATAATTCGCCAGTGTTTAATAAGATATAATAAATTATGCTCTTACAGTCGTAGGATATAAAAAAAGTGTAACAATATATAACAAACTAAAAACATTTTGAAAACGTTTTTTCATTTTTCATACGAATCATGTCTGGAGGATCATTTTAAGAGTCATTACTAGACTGCGGATGTTTATGCAAATTCATATTTTTATTAATAGAATTAATGAAATGGGAGCTTCGTATATGATTCTCTCAACCCTTAAATATAATAATTCGTATCTTACTTTAAATATTTCTTATATTTTTGCATATTAAATGCATTCTGTAGTTTTTTTAGGATTAAAATCCCCCATAAATCCATACGCATCCACAGTCTAGTCATTACTGTAGCAATTAATCAATAAATTAACGACAGACTAAAAATATGAGAAGTAAGAGGATACATATAGGTATCTCTCTTCTATATGCTTCAACATATGCACCAGAATTACTGACAAACTCATTGTGAGTCTTCCATGCAAATGAGGGAAACATCCCCCAAGTTGGGATAGATAGAAATGTTCAATTTACGAATCATGTCTGGGAGACCATTTTAAGAGTCATTACTGTACCAATTAATTGATGAATTAACGACAGACTAAAAATAAGAGAAGTCAGAGGACACACATAAGTCTCTCTCTTTCACATGCTTTAACCCTTTGCACTCCTCTGTCGAGTGTGATTCGACATCAATTTTTATCTCAGGAGCACCTTCGTCAAGTCCCATTCGACATTTTTTCAAGTCCAAACACCAAAGAGATATCGTACACTTGAAAATTACAAAATACAACAACGGTGTAAATAAAACAGATATTCTAACAGGTAAATTTCAAATAAAACACTTAAAAGCGTTGGGAGCTGCTGGTAACAAAATTGAAATATAATTCGGAGTGCAAAGGGTTAACACATACACCAGAATTACTGATAGACTCATCTGAGTCTTCCATTCAAATGAGGGAGGGATTCCTTAAGTTGGGATAGATAGAAATGTTCAATTTACGAATTATGTCTGGAGGCTCATTTTAAGAATCATTAATGCAGTACTAGCAATAAGTGTTAGAGAAAATACACATACTTTCATGCAAATAAGGGAAACATCCCCCAAATTGAGATAGATATAAACGTTCAATTTACGAATCAAGTCTGTGGATCATTTTAAGAATCATTACTGTACCAATTAATCAATGAATTAACGACAGACTAAAAATATGAAAAGTAAAATAATACACATAGGTGTCCCTCCTCCACATACTTTCATGCAAATAAGGGAAACATCCCCCAAATTACAATAGATAGAAACGTTCAATTTACAAATCAAGTCTGAAGGACCATTTTAAGAATCATTAGTGCAGTACTAGCAATAAATGTTAGAGAAAATACACATACTTTCATGCAAATAAGGGAAACATCCCCCAAGTTAGAATAGATAGAAACGTTCAATTTACGAATAACGTCTGGTGATCATTTCAAGAATCATTAGTACATTACTAGCAATAAGTGTTAGAGAAAATACACATACTTTCATGCCAATGAAGGAAACATCCCCCAAATTGGGATAGATAGAAATGTTCAATTTACAAATCATGTCTGGAGGTCCATTTTAAGAATCATTACTGTACCAATTAATCGATGAATTAACGAGAGACTAAAAAAATGAGAAAGAAAAGAATACACATAGGTATCTGTGGGGTTATTTTTATTGTGTGGTATGCCTGGTGAGTGAGTGGGGAATGAATGAGTGTGGATGTTGGCAACGCTGGGGCGCGAGAGGGGAACGCGCGGAAATCCCATGTATAGAGAGACTGTGATGCACACGTGGAGAGAACATTGTGAAAAATATATATACGTTAATTTATTAAATAGAAAGAGGCTCATTTAATTTGACTACCAAATTCCTCCCACAGTATCTCCCTTCCACATACTTTCATGCAAATGAAGGAAACATCCCCCAAATTAGAATAGATAGAAACGTTCAATTTACGAATCAAGTCTGGTGATCATTTCAAGAACCATTAATACAGTACTAGCAATAAGTGTTAGAGAAAATACACATACTTTCATGCAAGTAAGGGAAACATCCCCCAAATTGAAATAGATAGAAACGTTCAATTTACGAATCAAGTCTGGTGATCATTTCAAGAACCATTAATACAGTACTAGCAATAAGTGTTAGAGAAAATACACATACTTTCATGCAAGTAAGGGAAACATCCCCCAAATTGAAATAGATAGAAACGTTCAATTTACGAATCAAGTCTGAAGGACCATTTCAAAAACCCATTAATGCAGTACTAGCAATAAGTGTTAGAGAAAATACACATACTTTCATGCAAGTAAGGGAAACATCCCCCAAATTGAAATAGATAGAAACGTTCAATTTACGAATCAAGTCTGAAGGACCATTTCAAAAACCCATTAATGCAGTACTAGCAATAAGTGTTAGAGAAAATACACATACTTTCATGCAAGTAAGGGAAACATCCCCCAAATTGAAATAGATAGAAACGTTCAATTTACGAATCAAGTCTGGTGATCATTTCAAGAACCATTAATACAGTACTAGCAATAAGTGTTAGAGAAAATACACATACTTTCATGCAAGTAAGGGAAACATCCCCCAAATTAGAATAGATAGAAACGTTCAATTTACGAATCAAGTCTGGTGATCATTTCAAGAACCATTAATACAGTACTAGCAATAAGTGTTAGAGAAAATACACATACTTTCATGCAAGTAAGAGAAACATCCCCCAAATTGAAATAGATAGAAACGTTCAATTTACAAATCAAGTCTGAAGAACCATTTCAAAAACCCATTAATGCAGTACTAACAATAATTGTTGGAGAAAAATCGCAAAATTAGAAAGAAATGTATGGGATTTTCGCCTGTTCCGGTCTATAGTGTTTGATTGTTTGTTGCAGAGTCTCTCGAGGATGGGTTCCCGAAGGAGCGGGTGTCAGGCGAACGCCGGCGTTCTGAAGAAACGCGCCAACATGTCGTTCATGCTGGTGGTCATGTTCTTCGCGGTGTTCGGGTTGATCGTCTTTACGGAGATATTCCTGATCGACGAGAGACGGGGTGTGGGTGTAGGTGGTACCGGAGCCCTAGGAGGTCACAGGAGCGGACATCGATTGCCGGCTGCGCCCGATCGTCCGGATTACGGGGAAATCGGAGTAAGTACCCAATTAGGACCATCTGTATCCACTTAATTAAATGCGCTGTTTGATATGAATCTCCGGCTTTATTTAGCAGTGTACCGAGCGGACGCTAGGGAGAAAATTGCCTCCATCGTTTTCGCTGAAACGCTACCGAAACTTTATCAATTAGGGGGCTATTCTTACCTAGAATGTTAAACCTGCTTTTTTCGGAACTTCTAACAAAGAAACTATAAAACTTTTTTCGTATCGATTGTGGCACATGTATTTACTAACATTTAACCCCTTAACGTTCATGCCCGAGTCTGACTGCTTTGAAAAACAATATTTGTTTAATCCAATGGTTTAAGGGATGATAATATTTGTTTTCCTTTAAATTATACGTTAGATACAACATTGTAATTAACAAAAACCGTATTTTTAGAAACAAATCCAAAAAAGAAAACTGATCATTGTTGGTTAACCCGACAAAATATGAGCGTTAAGGTGTTAAAGAATACAGACTATTGTTGTAAACAAAAAATGATAACAATTACGCGAACTGTGTCTGGTTAGAGGAAGATATTGTAAAGAAAAAGTGTCTTGCTGGGGTGCATGATTCCGATCATTCCTTTGATCCCGAACAAGGAAACAAAATGGCGTATTATTTCGTATGAATATGACTATGGCGTGAACCAGTGGAAATTAAAAATCTTGATAGTTGAAGAAATGGCGGCACTTTGAAGTTTGAATACAAAACATGCTGACAATTTTGGCACGAATCATGAATTTGTATCTTCCAGGCAGCGTTGCGTTAAAATTTCGTTCGCCGCGTGTGATATATTGCTTTGGAACGAATTACGAATTACTCTAAAGAGGTGGATTCGTACGCGTTAATTTACAAGTTTTGTAATTACAATAAGCCCGGAGAAAGGTATTTTCAAGCAAATTATGAACGTCTGACGTTAAGTTTTTCGTCCGTCTCGTTGAGTGAATAATAGATTTTGTTAGCGTAATCAACGCGATTTAATGGGGACGGTGACTCGTTAAGGTAAACGAATTACGTTCATTAATTCGATGCTAAGATAAAAATTCTAGAACTGGTATTTTTCGTTTGGCCTCCGTACGAAATAAAGCGAGCAATTCGCGACGTATACACCATAATATTTTTTACGAAGAACCGTGAAGAATTTAATGCGCCCAATAGTGTTCTAAAAAATTCATTTTTGTGCAATAACAGTAAAAGGTCAACGAATTTATTTATTCATGCCTTCTCTTCCTTCATGACTGACCTTTCGTTGCACTTAATGATTTTATCTTGCGACCTTATGTTATGGATCACTGCATTTATCTTTATAGGTGCTGTCGAAAGATAAATCTAGAAATATGTATAGTGTTCCTTCTGGGGAAAGACAGATGTAAATAACTATATATGTAGATAATTGTTACCAATAAGTCCCTTTTATACTGCAAACAATTATAAAACTAGTATAATAATTTCTAATGTAGTTTATGTATGTAGTCGTATCAACTAAGTGTTTTTTGAACGCTTTCGAGCTTTCAATTTGTGTAATTCCCAGAATTACTGTTACCCGTACTCGCCACCAGAGGGACTGCTCTCTCACAAGTGCTCGATCGAGCATCGAATGCTCTTCTCTCCTTTTATTCACGATTAACGAACAAACAATTTTGGATTCGTTTATGTCTCATTGCAAAAACATACGTAAATTAGAATCTAATGTCTTACACCGAAAATTCTAATATAAATCTAGTTTTAGAATCTAAAAATTTCATTCGTTGTTCATGAATAATATTTAGATAACAGCAACGAGAATCCGGTACAGTGTAATAACTTTATTTATCTCTATATGTCTATCATAATGACAAGATTCTATGGTTTCTCGACGACCATGATAACTGGGGTTTTGGGGAAACTCCAGAAATAAAGTTTCAACTTCCTATCCTCTGATCATTCCCTTTAGGAGTTAAATTAAACGCGCGTGAAATATATTTTTCTTTTTATGTATTCCAGGTACTTCCTTCCTGTATTGTAAAACCATAATCACAAAGGGAGTTGGAAATTGCAAGTAACACGATATCCGTTGACGTGTTTCACGATTTTCGTACGTCGCGTGCTGGCCGTAGGAAACGTAAATGTACGCAGACATTAAAAATTAATCGCGCGTCGTTCATGCTGTACGGTCGCTACATTATCAGTTATTTCGAGCTTTACGATTTCGTAATTGGCACGTATAGAGCACCGATAAGAAAAATATGTAGACACGTATGTTATTTACATCGATTGACCGATATAAACGGATTTGTTTCGCTCTCGTATCATGCAATTTCCAACCACCGAGAACTATTCATTACGATTCTCTTGTAAATATTCATTCCCGATCGTTGACATATTTTATATTTACATTTCGATTGCACGACATATTCGTTTTACTAATTCAATTACTACAATGTAGATTTCAAAGTAGATTTCGAAGTAGATTTCTGTATAATTGCGAACAAAGCTGCGCCCGGTTAACTGAAACCGAATCACTGTTCAATTATCAGTGCTATTTGTTCATTATCAAGTGCTACTTAGCGTTCCTTGGGTAATTATCGAGTAATAGAACGAGATCTTTTCTGCTTCTATTAAGCAAGATCGTACCTTTTTAATCGTGCAAGATTTATTACCTTAATTTAGAAAATAGTGAAGTTATAATAATGTTTTCTACCGATATGTTTGGTAGAATTTTATCAGCTTGCATCCAGTAGATCTCAGAAAGTATACATCAGATTAATTGAGCCGTTTATTTTGAAAGTGGCCAAAGTCCATTTATTTTCAAATCGAGATATTTAAAGGTTTTCTTATCAAGAATGGAGTTAGGCCACTTTCAAAATTAACGTCTGATAATTAGGAAGTTTTTAAAAATGCATATAAAATAAAATATGCTACTGGTCAATCTATACCTCCATTTTCATTGTACAATATAGTTCCATGCCCCTAGTGGTGATACTGTGAACTATAAAAACTCTTGATCTGACGACGATTGGCTAGCTAATAACACGTGGCGAAATTTGGATAAATGGTAGTAACGGAGGGAGAGATCTAAAATAGTGTCTATCGCCAATAAACGCAAGTTTTAAATGAGCCGTTTATTTTGAAAGTGTCCTAAGTCCATTTATCTTCAAATCGAGATATTTAAAGGTTTGCGTTTCAATGAATTTAAAAATATACGTATAGGATACTAATGAGTCATACTGCTTAAGTGTATCTAAGGCTGTTAAATTTATAGTTCCTATTAAAATAGTGGCAATTATTAAGCGAATAATATGCGTTTTCTTATCAAGAATGGAGTTAGGCCACTTTCAAAATTAACAACCAGATTCATTATAAAATTTGAAGGCGCCCAAGTTAATTCAACATAATTTAAGATGCTTCAAATTGAAAAAAAACAATACTGAATTTATTTTACATATCTTTAAAACACTTTGGAAACATAATTTATGCCATTCAAAACATTTTTTAACTACACAACGTACAAAATTACAAACATAAATTTATTACAAAACAATTTACTACTCATCTACATATTGTGCGTGTGAAAGGGATTTGAAGAAATCATGATGTTCCGGTGGTATATATCGTTGTTAGAATGTGGAGGGCTCAAACACTGATTTGAGAACCTCGTCTAACGGGGGTCCGGATCACGAGGGAATAGGAGGATGGAAAAGTAATTGTCACACGTTATATATATTTTCACGTCGTCGAAATAGTTCGACGACGTCGTTTATTGCGGAAATTTAAATGCGAACAGCCTGTCTTAATTAGATTATACGCGACAAAAACCTCGCCTGTCTGACCGGCGTCTGGCGTGTGCTCGCGTCACGCTGTTCTGAAACAAAAGAGACGGAACGAGGTGTAAATATACGGTAACGTTTGTCACTCTCTCCGTCTCGTTTTAATGTTCACGCGCTCCTGGTTGTGCTTGTCGCACTCAGGAGCGGGAAACTCAGCCGCCGCGTTACGCAGCTAAGCTAGTGGACTGTATGTGTTTGTGTGCGTTCCCTTTAAACCGGTAAACGTCTGATTGCAGTTTTGGGGAAGACGAGATTCAACCTCGTTTCTTCCTCGACTGCAGGTCTCGACTGTCGTAGGAGAGGGTAACGGATGGAGGTTGTAAGGCTGCAACCGTACCCGGTCCTTGGCCCTTTACCACCTTCTTACGTGCGTACGGGCACGGTGTGGTGCAGGTTTGCCAACGGCGCCCTTGGGTCGACTTACTATTGGGCCTGACACCACGTTGCTTAATGAATCAACGTCCTACGCGCAGAGACCGTACCTACTAGGCTGGCGATCTTTGGGCGTGTTCTCGCGATTCGCCGTAAGCTGGGAGTTAAAATTGTCCTACACTTCGACCGGAAGATGGCAAAGCCACCCAGGGTATTTTATACGCCCCTGGATTGTGGGTTTCGAGCCGTTTGACAGTCAAGGGAGGTTCGAGGGTCAACCTCGATACCTCCGACACGACCCCTGATTACAGCGATACGTGTCTGTATTCAGGCTGAGGTGGATCGTACCCACTGCTGAATTCGAAATATCGGATTATAACCTGCGAGATCTTTACAGTCTTTGGATCAGGTCGTGTTCCGACCTGATCTGTTTAATTGGTAAACGGCTTACGGAAGTTCACGGGATGGGATTGTTTTACAACCCGTTCCGTATTGAACGTCCTGCGGAGGTTCACGGGATGGGGTTGTTTTCAACCCGTTCCGTATTGAACGTCCTGTGCAAGTTCACGGGATAGGATTGTTTTCCAATCCGTTCCGTATTGAACTTGTTGTTCCCGTTTACGGCTCTTTTAAATAGTAAACGGGTTGTGGAAGTTCACGGTATGGGATTGTTTTACAATCCGTTCCGTATTTGAACTTCCTGCCCACGTTTACGACTCTTTGATTTTAAATTGTAAACGGGTTTTGCGGAAGTATTGACGGTACCGGATGGATTCCCAATCCGTCCTCGTACTGTACTTCCAACCCACGTT